GTTGATGTCAAAGCTCTTTCTACTCGTCTGTTTACGGTACTACAGACCGTTCGAAACCAGGGATTAAGCAAACGTTGGTATAAAACCCTTCGTCAAAACACTCTACCAAGGCCCAATCAAGTGTCCCGCAATGCAGATTCCGTTTTACCACAACTGATACTGATCGAGTCACCCTAGCTCCTTTCTTCGAATCGATAATACATCGAACCGCTATCACAGAGGATTAAAAGACCACCTTTAGAAAAAATCAAGTCAAAGTATTATTGGAATTGAACCTAATGTGAAGAAATGTGTATATTATGTTCGTAGCTGTTACACGTCTTAGAAACTAGCATAGCTATCGTAGAAAGTTAGAATCAGGTCATGTTTATCCTACAAATTATTTTATCTTCTTGAAAATAGATATGTTAATCGAGGACCTACCTTTTTTAACATTTAATCGGTTAGGTATTTTCTGCGATATCAGGTAAAGAATGAACCCCTAAAGAATGCCCCTCTAAGCAGGGACCGCCCACAATAAAGCTGTCTTTGCGCTAAACGCTAGTAAAATAAGGTTCAGTTTGTGGTTGGAGTTAGGATGAAGTTTAGGGCTAGGCTTAGGTCTGGAGTTAAGATAAGCATTAGGATAAGTTAAGGTCGGGGTTAAGATTAGGGTCACATTTTAGATGTAAGTTACGGCTAATGCCAAGGTTAGGACACGGAACTATGAGGCCCTCATGCAATTACGCGCAGGGCGACCGTTATTACTTGATCGAGGCGTTCCTACTTCCAAATTCTGCTTAAGCAAGTCTTATCGAGACCAGTTTTGCATTGCCAAGCAAAAGGAATGCTGAAGCGTACAGAAGGCAGCACTTTCCCGCCTTGACAGACCTGTCGAAGAGATACTTCAGTCAGTACCTCTTACTTTTATTTGAATAATTACACTTATTTGATACCTTGGTCTTTGTGCTTTGACTTCTAATATCCTTCTACTCGCAAAATTAACTTTGTCACTACACTTCTTTACATACGAAGCCCATCTCAAATTTTGTGCAAATCTTGTCATCAATTTTATGCTCGAACCCTTCTTCACCCAGGCGCTACTACCACTCTGTACTAGTCACGCAGC